CACACACACACACACACACACACACACACACACACAAAGAGACAAATGACGAAGCTAACAGACACATCTCTTCATTATTTATATTGCAGCAGACGGAGATCCCACTGCCAGCAGACTGACAGATGACACTTAGTGTTTGGTTTAGACAGAAAAGAAGAAAGGAGCAAGGGATTAGAGGGGCAGAAGTGAAGCCACTGCCTCCCTACACAGTTATTATTAGCCTTTTGTATACGTACAGCTGGAGTTCATGATGAGTAACATCTTTAAAGGCGTTCACACAACTGGGCCAATTGCATATAACACATTGAAGACTATAGTGCAGGAGGCTGTTACAGGGTTAGTTGCTCTCCCACTCGTATCTTGCGTATGAGTGTGCTCAGAGAGGGAGAATAGTATGAGTAAGTGAGGGTGGGTTGGTTGGATTGGTGGTTGGGAGTAATGATATGGCTGATTGCGTCTTGAGAGTAGGTGACTGGTGACAATCTGCAGAGTAAATTCACAAGTGTATGTGAGATGGGAGGTGCGATGGAGTCAAGGGATCTGTGGGTGATGAGATAAAACTAAAACCTATTGGGTAAATTTCTGTGTATCGGCTGTAGGGCCTATGCTCATCAAATAAAAAATCTCTAATTTGTAAAATACAAGTTTTCATACAGTCTTATACAGCGATGGGGATTTTGTGTAAAAGGACAGTAAAAACATGGACATTTTTTAAGGTCCAGTGGTTCTGTATCTCGACAGACAGATCAACTTATTTATGAGTGAGAGAAGGCGTGAGCAAGCAACAGCAGTGCAGAGCGCTGCACACAGCTCTACAATGAAGAACCTTTATGTTATCATGAGAAGTGGCCACCAAATCTATGTAATTGATAGGAAACCCTGCACACACCTGAAGCACACCACAAGATTACAATTTACCGGTGTAATCTGTAACACTGGTGCTAGCGTGACTTTACTACTTTACCACACAATGGTATCCCTACTATAGTCTTGCTTTGTTTATGGAAGTAAACTTATATTTCTTAATTAATATGCTCAGGGTTTGTTGTTGTTAAAATGTCCCATGTTGCATTTTGAGTCTCACACACTTCTCAAAATGTAAGGGGATTGTTTCAGTAATCAAAGTGCACAATAGTAATCATGCATTATTTATCCATGACAGAAGGAGATTGAGCCATTGATTCAGGTTGACACAACACAGTGTCGCTCTCTCTCTTTCTCTATTACTGCAGTGACAAGCTGACGGCTCATAAAGGTGATTTACTGTGGACAAAGCTCAGACGTGTCCAATCTTAATGACAATGACAGAAAACAATGCAGATGGAGTGTACACCAATAATAAAATATTTGCTTCATAAAAGACAACTGTGGCTGGTCACAGGCTTATAATCAACATGTGCGTAATCCACAGTTCTGCCTAAAGCTGCTTCTAATAAACAAACCCATAAACATGAATATATAAACAGACCTGTTAGCTGAAAGTCTTAAATCAACGTGTGAGGAGACAGGGAGGGTGAAGCGACTGTGCCATGGGCATATTCTTGGATTTGCAGGTTAAGAGTAAGTAAGATGGACAGATGGGGAAGGGGATGAGCAGACAGAGATGAAAATCCACACCGACAGATAAGAGCTTCGTCAAACCAATAAAGTTTGCCAGAGCTGAAGCTAATAAAAGTCCTCAAACACACAAAGATCTGAAAACAAATCAAGCTTGAGGCTCCAGTTAATCACGTTTGGTACAAGCTAAAGGTTACAGTGATTCCTTTGTGTACTGTCCCAGAGGAGGACCTGGTCTGTCATGAATAATGTCAGAATAATATCATAATAAAACATATATTTGTATTTACTTAGGGACTTATGGATGGACAAATGTAAGGACGGACTGACACACAATGATCGTTAGATCACAACAGAGTTGAAGTTTGTTGATTGTTTGTGTGTACAGTATACAGCAGTTCCTGTTCCTACATCTGATTGGCTGTCTCTATGTACAGAGCTATTAAAAACTCACCCCGTCGTGAACCAAAGCTTTCCACGAGTGCTCCAGTTTCTTGATTAGCCTGCAGAGGCAAAGAAACATGTCCTATGTATTAGGTACATACACAAATGAGCAACATGCCTATGAAACGTGCTGTCAGTTATGTTGTTTAAGTTTATGCACAAAAAATGTCTGCAGCAGGAGAACGTATCAACACACAGACATTCGTCCTACATCTGAAGCCTGTGACACACTGGAGAATATAAAGCTGAAGGAGTGACTACATATAATCACATGGTCTCTGTGATGATCACCTGTAGGACTGCAGGATGTCGATGATCCCGATGTAAAGAAGAAGTCGCTCTCCCTTTCCATTGACAGCTGGGATACCGCCCATCCTAAAATGAGAAGCAAAATAAAACGGCACAGTTGAGTTTGTCAATCAGACTGCAGGACTGTTTTCAGCTGATGTGATTTGATGCGAGATGTGAATCAATAATTGATCTGTCAAAATTTAATCAGCAAAACCAGAGTTCAGACACAGGTTTTTACCAGATTTTGCAAACATCCTGCAGCAATTTTTTCTCTGTATGGTATTAAAACCCTAGTTATTAATAATTCATGTTTTTTCTAATTAGTTTGCATTATATGAAACATTTATTCTATATGCGTGACAAGGCTTAACCTAAACTATATGAATCTGAGAGGAATTAATACCATTTTAATGAAGCATCGTATTAGTTCCTGCAGGACACGGAGTCATAAACTCAGCTGTCGTATGCTGTCAGCTACTGGTTCATGGTTGCTCGTCAGTCACTCACCAATCGCAGCACATTCTCTCAATAAAGCGGTCCTTTAAAATGCAACCTCCTCCTCACTGATCCCTGCTCAGCTACACTGCCACTCATGCTCTGCTGCATGCTCCACCACCCCAGCCTCCACCTTTTGAATCCAAACATGGTTGTGGTAAATGGTATTCATCTTGAACAAATGTATCTTGCCTGCTTACACCCACTCGGGGGTTTTGCACGTGTTCCCTGTTTTATCTTAGCATGCTGCTTAGCTAATCCAGGGAACATCCAAAGAATTGAGCCATCCGCCCCAAACATAACTGTATTCCCATTTGTGCAATAAATGGTTAAAACATTTAAAGTGTTCCTGACTGAAATGTATTTAACTTGTAGTATTAAATTGGATTCCCACAGTACATATATTTGGATGCTATTACCATTAATTTACGACAGCTAAAGGAAGTGTTTCACATTTTAAGCATTATATTAAGTCACAAACTTACATCACTTCACATGGTGTTTTTTTAAATTTTGTACGATCCAATTAATTATATTCATTCCACACTGTAGATCTATGGAAGTCCTGATTACCTGCCTTGATTAAGAGGCAGCAGTACATCACACACAGTCCTGCAGTTCAACACTTGATCTAATCCTTGTCAGTGTAAGGGTTCAACTTTGACCAAACAATCCATAATCCTATAACCAAGCAGCGTCCCACTGCACTGTGAAGGTGCTGATACCGTGCTCTACTGTATCTTCTAAACTGCTGACAGAAAATCTGATACCAATTCATCTGGAAACTGAGAGGTAGTTTTTATTAAAGCAAGTCAAAGTGTCGGAACTCTGAATGTGTAATCGTTTGGAGTGGGTCAATACTTTTAATGTTTATAATAAACTTCCTTTATTCAAGCCATAGTAGCATTCAAATTATCTATCGACCATTTCATCCACATTGAACCAACAGACCAAAGATTGTCTGCCTTAACACTACCAACTGTCTGATGGGCAAATATCAAGCTTGTTATCAGGGTCACTTGAAACCAGGGGAACCAGCTCCAGCATGACCTTTAAAATCTTTTCTCAATTTTCATTTTATATTGCAGATTTCAGAAGCATTAATAATTTACAGGTAAAGTACTCTAGGGAGCCGCAGTTAAAGATTAAGCACTTAGGATGAAAAAGTTCCAACTAATAAAAGTTTATTATTGATAATATATCTCCCACTATGTTTATTATTATTAATATGTGCCAGCCGTACATCTACCACTGGCCTCCGCTGCCAACAGCCCAATGTCTCTCTGGCTATACTCACGTGTCATCAGTGTCGATGGACCCTCCGCAGGCTGCTCCTCCCTGGATGGACTCCATGGCTGTGGAGTACAGGGCCTTCTGCTGGGCCACGGGCCTCTTCTCATCACTGCCGCCCTGGGAGCCCTCCATCTGCCTCTCCCTCTCCGCCTGGTCCATGTTGTGAACGCCGAGCAGCAGGCTGTAGTCCATGATCTTGAAGCTCTCCAGCACCTGAGCAAATACAGACACATGTGAGTTTCCGGTGAGTGACAGAAATGTGGCGTATAAATTCAGATGAAAGGTTTTATCTGTGGTGGATCACAGCTTCAGCACTAGAGGGAAGGAGACCTGTAACAGTGGAGATGTTTGTGCCACACACAGCACACAGTGCTGCACACACTGAAGCATGTACATGCTAATAAAACATGTGTAAGAGAGCAAGTGTGGGAGCAGACACTCTCTCCCACACACACACACACACACTCTGGAAATGTAAACATGAGATGGTGGTGATTTACAAGTCAATGGTCGGCCTGATTCCAGATCTGAAAACTAACTCATAACAAAGCTCAAATCTATAGTGAGGGATCGTGGGAATGCCAAATACTATCATGAACAGCTTTATCTCTTTTTCATTCTTCTCTCCCATCTCCCTCCTCTAGTCCTACGACTTACAGTCATTCTCTTGTATTGATCAGGGCAACATCAGCATCATCCCTGGAGTTTTTCTCCATTTCCTTTTATAGAGTTCATTCATGTCTTATTATTTCCCTCATTTGCTTTGGGACACTGCATTGGCATCACTTACACTTTCCTTATACCCTCCCTCTATTTCTTACCTCCTTGCATAGCATCTACTCCCTATATCTAGGGACTCTTGATCAGGATGTCATATGGATCCTCAGAATTAGAAAACCACCCTTGCCACCTGCCCCTTAGCTAATTTCATTCTACCCTGCCATGGCTCTCTCATTTCTATTTCAACATAAAAGTGTAAATTCTTTACACAGCAGCTATACAATTCTGCTCGTCTTACCAGGCAGTCTCTCTGTAGTGTCTTCACGAGCGCGTTGTATGTGTCCTGGTCCAGCATCAGTCCGTCCTGCAAGTCCTGCATGAAGTCCAGGTCTTTGAAAGTGGGCCTGGCCTTCTCCCTCTCCTTCTTGGATGCTCGCCTCTTGTAGGTGGAGCCCTTCAGGTCATATTTGAGGTGCATGCGAACCACACGGGGCAGGACGTTGTTCATCACAACCACACGGATGTTTTTCCCGCCCGACTGGACACAGTAGAGACCGAAAAACTTGGGCAGCAAAGTGCGAGGGTTTTGATTCAAGTTCTGGAGAGAAAGAAGAGAGGGAGACAACAAACGATCTTAAAGGGGCTCATAAATATGTGTAAGTTTCTGTGCTTTGACAGGACGTTGAGGAAGAACTTTACAGTGGAATGTGAGATATGTGCGGGGAAATGTTGGCACAAGCTATTATCACATTGTAGAGGTTTGAGGTACGTATGTACCTGTGAGGAAGAAGTGCTAAAGAAATTATTCTTGACACTCTGAAGGATCAGAGAGGGTTTTCTTTCACAGAATATCCAGGAACAACAACACATGAAGCATTTTTCATTCCTAGGGACCTCGAGAATAAAAAATAAATGAGCAGTACGATGATAAACATCGTGCAAACAGTTAATTTGTTAACAATACACGATTCTCTGTGTACACATACTTTGGTTACAGAGTCACATCTGTCATCTGATCACATCAGAGTGCATTACATAACTGAGAGTAACCACAGACCAAGATTTTTTTACCCACGGTGCAGTGATACATGTGGAAAGACTCAAACTGTGATTACAATTCTTTCTTGCCTGGTCACAATCAAGCCACAGTCACTCAGCCAGAATAAGGAAAATGATGGAGGATTATGTACTGGAGAGTTAGTATAGACATCCTCTTTTCAACCCAGTTTGAGACGTATGAGTTTTATTTCAGTATCTCTTGTCATCTCACAACCCCCTTATAGGATTAAAGGACAAAAAAAAGGACTGAAAATATTTATATTTACAGTTTATCAGAAAACAACTTCCTGCTTTTCTGGTCACAAACTGGTACGCATGATTTACCTCACCTCCATGCCCTATGTTACACACCATGCCCTGAGGGTGGAGGAAGTAAGACAGGTACCCCATATTCCATTCCAGTCAGTCACTGTCAGGCTCTCTCTCTCTCAAAATGATGATCAATTTGTTTCTCTCAATAGATCACACAGTAAACTGACATTTTACAACAGAAAAGCTAAAATAAAAGTAGTTTTCATTTATCAAACTGTAAAATTGAATTTATCTTTAACAGACTACCATTACTATAACATCGAAAACTACCATCTCCTATTTTACATGACTCTGTGTGGATTTTCAGTAGTCAATCCACACAAATGAGGTTAGTCGGGCTGTGTGCTCAGTTTAAAACCTGCTTTGACCTTGGGACCTGAGCCAGTTCAGTCCCATTACAGAAATGAGAGCAGAGAGAGAGAGACAGAGAGAGCTGTAGTCCATACATCGGTAGCACACAGCATCCAGGAGTGGAAGTAACAACAAGAGGAGAAAGAAAGAGGAGCAGACAGAGGAGAGATGAAGGATGAATGTGGAAGTGTGGCTAAAAGGCTCAGCACTGAACGACCTTCAGCTGAGAGAAATTGGTAGAGAGAGCAGCAGAAACGATTTAGAGAAAAAGAGCGAGCGAGCGAGCGAGAGAGAGAGAAAGAGAAAGCATCCTCTGCCGTCAGCCATGCACGACCCTTCTGTCGATGTTAAGAGGGCAGAGTGTTGACGAGCCAACAGCACAGACACGTGAGGGAGAGGAGAGAACAGAGAGAAGGGATGGAGAGGAGCGTGAAAGGAAAGCAGGGGAAAGAGTGGATTAAAACATGGGGTAGAGTGAGAGATAAGACAAATAAATTACCCCAAGAGCAGCACAGCAGGAGGGAGAGTGATAAGACGTTAAAACGTGAGGGAGGATGGGAAGATGAGGTAGAATAGAAGGGCAAATACACAGAAGGAAAAGAGTCAGTTACATCACAGTGTTCTGTATGCTGCCCAGAGCGAGACTCCTTAGCCAGCCCTCTACCGTCCGCTAGTCAGCTGTGGAAGACATGTGGAGCTCCACCAATAACTGCCTACATGCTACATTTCCACTTACTTTGTTTTGTTCATCACATCACTAGGTTGTGAGTATGTACATGTTATGTTTTAAGTCTTATTCCCTTAGTCCACCTTCTCTGACCTGAGGCTACAGCCATCCTACATGAGCATGAATATCTCCACTTTCATTATGCCTCCTTCTCAGACCAATTACACCAGCGAAAACCAACCAAAACGACGGAAAAGGTCACAGCAAATGTGCCGAGCCTTTAATGTCCCTAAATGATTAAATGAATTCTCACAGTAGTCTTTGGCCATGCCTGACGGAACATGAATAAACACAAGGCCCAGGGCTGTGACCCTGAGAGGCTGGATTAGTAGTATGGACATACATGGAGCTGTTGCTGGTTGACTTCATTCACAATAAGCCTGCAGACTGTAGAGATGGGGAGGAGGGAATGTTACTGTTGGTGCAAGTCATGCTCTGTTAGGTTGGAGTAGAGTACATCCGGTTTCTGAAATACACCGGCCACTCTCTTATGAAACTGCATGGCCTGAGGTTTCAGTCAGAAAAAGCTGTTTTGTCTGCTGCTTTATATAAAAAGGATTTCATGCTCAGAGGAGAGATTTCCAGACATAAAATGGAGAAAATCCTCAAAATAACAACATAACAGGAAGTTGGCATTTAAATGAAAGTCTGAGTTATTCATGTATTTAGTGGCCTTTTCAGACCAAGATACAGGAACACTGTCTATTTTTACATTGAAAGCAACATTACGCAGATTGACCTTTTATTTATAAGACATTATTTCTTATATCATATTCACATGAGCTGCCGAGTGCCGATTGAATATTGCATTCATATTCCTGTTTAAATGGCACAGAGCATTATCTGATTATGACTCACATCGACATTACAGCAGTGTCTGATTCAGGCTATCGTCTTCATCTGGGTTTTATCAGAATATTTGTATCCATGTAAACGTAATAACCGAAAGGCTTCTCCAATGTATGAATCTATGTTCACTTTATGTGCACGTGCCTTGAAAACTAGATGGTATCAAGACAGGCTTATTGGTTTGCATGAGATTATATTTGTACGCATGAGCAACAGTTATTCACCATGTATTATCCTACACCATGTGTGAATCCTACCATGAAGAGAAAAAAGGAAAACTACTGAACCTGAAAGTAAGAGTAAAAAAACAATAGAAATGAAAATCAGGAGCTGCAATTTTGTTTTCATCAACCTTTGACATTATACAGACATGGACATGGACATGATTCACTGCAGACGAGAGCACCTTGTTAACACACCCACTCATACCCAGTAACACACGTAGTCTTTGCTCACCATGTAGTATCCAGGCAGCAGTTTCTGTAAGAACTCAGCTTCCTTGTGCATCACAGTCTTGATGATGAACTCATCGTCCTTTGTGAGATAGAAGACTGAACCACTGGCTCCAGGATTGGACAGCTCGATTAGGGGCTCGTTACACAGGGAGTACTGCAGGGACACACAGACACAAACACAGTGATTTAGGGAAATAAAATGACAAAAGTATAGTTGTTTTAAGGATATTTTAGTAACAAACATAGTATAGTGTTTATGGAAATTTCCAGTTTCCAGTTTGACAATCACAAGCCCATGCTCATCATCTCCAGATAAAACAATCCTACAATCCTCTTTAATCACTGGATCATTTAAAAACACTTGAAATCAAACAATCTAGAAGCAAATACAAGTATATTGGGCTTGAATAAATTATCTTTGGGTTTTTTGACAAATTTAAAGAAAGCTAATTAATTCATGACAATTTGTCACATGAGTTGTGAACATTAATGTGAACCTCGTCAGGATATTTTACATCAGTTATACCTGCATTTAGTACATGCATAGTTTCAGGTTGCTCTTGATTTAGTCTTTGCCTCTTTCTTCCTCCGTGTTTAAAGATTTTGTGTTTCCTACTCAAAAACCTGGTTACACCCAAAGCAGCACACATGCCAAACGTCTTACACATGAATGAATGAATAAAAGCTCTGTCAAAGAAGCTCCTCCCAAGCAACTCAATAAAACCACCATGGAAAACTGTTCTCCTGGGTAGCACGAGTGGCTGAATACTTCTTGGTTATCATATACTGAGAGATGTGCATCCCTATTGCCCAGTAGGCTCAAAGAATCAACATTTTATGTTCAATATTACATCAATTATATCAATGAATAAATTCATGATAATAAATGCCTTTTACCTTTTTGCATTATTAAAAATTGACTGAGAATTAGATTATCATGTACTTTTTTTAAATGATGTGCGCCTATGAAGGAAACCCATTAATTGTCATGACTAGAGTTTCATTTCGTTCACACACAAGCAAACACATGACACGGTTACCTTTTCCAAAATCTAGTTTATAAATACTGTTACTCATTGGTTTTTATCAAATGTGATAAAGTTGTATTACAGTCACACTTTTGTGAGGCACAAAGTCACCCAACAGTCCTGAAGTGGCTGAGGTGGAAGACAGACAGGCTAAGAGGCGCTAACCTGCTCAGTTACTGACACAAACAGACAGATAAAGATGCACATGACCTTATTGTTACTGTTATTTCACTGACATCAAAGAGAACACGTTCACCTGCTGCCTGTTTCGACAATTCACTCTTTGACTCTTCCACGTGGTGAGTACACGTTCAACATGCATAAACACTGACGAAGCAGTGTGTGTATATTTTGTTAGACTGCTCACAGCAGTGAATCATGCCGCCTCCAGGTCCTCATCGCTGCAGACCTTCATCCTTCTCCTCAGTCGTCCTCTCTCCTCTACTCCACCTTCTCTTGTGCTGTCTCATGGTTTGTCTTATTCATTCTCTTCCCCACTCAACACATGTTTACTTTATCTATTGTCATTTGTTGGGTTTCCCTTCCTCCCATTTCACCTCAAAATCCTGCAGTAACAAATTGTGACCATTTGTTTCATGTGCTGTTATCTGACACAGTAGATTATTATTAACACATTGGCTTCATTTTGATTGAATCAAAAATGATGCTGAGAATGAAACATTTTAAGAATTTGTTATGGCTTGACTTGTGACTGACATAAAGCAGGGACTCAGCTTGACTTGGCTTGATTCACACCACAGAAAAATGAGACTTGCTTGAGACTTGAAGATGAATATCTAAGACTCATTGGACTCACGTGTGTGTGACTTTTTCCACCTCTGATTTGAGCGGATACAATCATATATGTGAGGATTCTAGTTCTACTATAGATTTTCTGGTAAGTCTATGTAGTGTGTGATAAGAACTGGTAAAGCTATGACAAAACAAAAGCTTAAGTCTTACCAGGTAGTCATCTGGCCTGATGCCAAACAGTTCTCTGAAGTAGCGGAAGGCCACAGGAGCATATGTTTTGAAGCGGAAGTCTGGGAAATGGTGGGCTGGAGTGAGGTTGCTGCCTTCACTAGAGGGCAGAGCATCAGAGCACAGAGATCAATTTCATATTCCTCCCCAGCAAACATCAGACAGGTTAGTTAAGATCATATAGTGTTCACTGTAAATCCACTGGAAATATACTGCTGTAGTATGTATTTATATATGTGTGCGTGTTTGCAGTTGAGACCTGGGGAAAAAGATGCTCTCCACCACGTAGAAGTCCTGCATCAACACATCTCTCTCGGGCTTGGAGCTCAGGTTGCCCACTGTGTAACCGATGCCCAGCTGGATGGCACCTTTCAAGGCTGAGGATGTGGTCTGCACGGGTGGGGACGGGAGACAGATGTAGATGTGGTGAGAGGGATATGTTTCAGTTTATAACCCTCACAGTAAGAAAATTGACCTATTCTGAGATGGAGCAGATTTTGGAGAAGTAATACCATTCCATATAAAGCAAATATACAATGTTATTGTCACTTGGCATTAAATGAGATGACTCTCTGAATTCAACCTTCCGTTCTTCATATGGAAACATTTTCACAAAACTTTACCTTCTTGTAAGTAGTTTCTCCTGATGCATCCACTCCTCTGTGACCAATCTTCTTTCCCTGACCAGGCAGGCCTGAGGACGAGGGCATCTGATGACACAGAGAGAGTTCATTAAAAACTTTTTTAGATATTAGAAGGCCGAGCCTGACATGATATTAATGCATGAGAGTGATTTCAAACTTCCTGAATGCATTGAACATGACCTGTGGCATTTCTTCTGATTAACTGAGCTGATTTAGTTTCAATGGTCGAAGCTGTGCTGGATGTTTATGACCTGAAAGTTGGTGCTTTAAGTAGAGTAAAATGTCCACGGCAGATTAAAAATGGAACAAATGTCTAGCACTTGTTTGCTTTATAACCTCTGCCAATGAGGTTGTGTTTTCCTTTTGTTTGTTTGTCTCTCTTAAAGTTAGCAGGATTATGCAAAACTACCAGACAAATCACCATGAAACTTGGTGGAAGGATTGTTTAAAGAACCTATTCAGTTTTGGTGCGGTTCCGAATGCATGTTTGATTTATTATTATTATTATTTCATTCCATCTACGGTAGTCGCAGTGATGCAACAGATTCTGAGTGACAGGTACACACAGTAACGTGAGGGAGAGAACTGAATTGCATGCCTTGTGGGTACACACGCAACTGCAGCTGAAACTATGGGGTCTAACTGTCTGCATGAAAGGTAACATCTTTATGGATGAGTGTGAGTAAGCACACAGCAAATAGCGTAACAACTATACAATGCACCAACAGAGCAAAACACTTATTACAAGAAGTGTAAACACTTTTTGGATCATTATGAAACTGTGCCAAGATAAATTAGAATATAGAGTTCTGCCAGAGTGTAGATAATTAATTGGAAACACTGCTTTGACATGGTGAGATAGGGCAGTAGCCATGGTGGAGGTATGCACTTTCAGAGCAAGTGATTGGCAAATTAATGGCATTTCACTTATCTAGGAGGATTAAGATCATTTGTCCTAAATTATCTGGCAAGACAAGAATACTCAAGGGATATTGAAATTACACGTGTTGTACTGTAGTCTGTTCTGACCCTTGTGGCAGTCATCATGTACTAAGGGAGGAAAATTACATACTGCACATATCCTCAGACCAAACCTTGTTGTGCTAGTGCTTCTCATTAGCATCCAGCTCAAACCAAAGAACTAGTTGATATTGATGTAGAGATAAAGAAACTAACAGAGCAGATTATCACAGGGACGGATGGCAGCTTACCTCTGTGATGAAGGCTTTCTTAGCAGCAGCATCTGAGACAAAGAGAGACACAGAGAGACAGAGATGACAAGTGTTAGTCGCTCTGAGACAGAGAGGCTCCATTACTCAGCATCATTAGTTTTCCCTGTGACAGAAATGAATCCCAAACGGTGGACGCAGCAGTCCAACATTATGTAATAACAGTGTCAAACACAAGTAGCAGCCTGTCAGCAAGAGGAACTGCAGGAAACAATTGCATCAGCGACAAGAGCACAAGGTCCTATTTAAACATGCACATGTGTATTGAGTGCCATGTGGCTGAATAACTGTCCGTCTGTTGTGCCATTGCTCAGGACAAGAATAAAATATATCATTGTTTATTTGTTGGATTGCCATGAAACACCGTGCAGACATTTATAATTCCCTGAGGAAAAACTTAATGACTTTTGAGACTCCCTGACTTTTCCTCGAGCAACACTGACAGGTTTATGTTTGTGGCTTTTAATGTTGATGTTTGTGGCATCTACTGGATGGATTACCAAGGAATTCAGTAGACTCATTCATGTCCCCGTCAGGAAGATTTCTAATAACACTGGTAAATCCTCTTATTTCATCTAGTGACACCATCAGGTCTCATTCACTTTAAACTTTCAGTTGCTGCAAAAATACTGACGGTTCAGATCAACATCTGCTCTAGATTGTGTTTATTGTTAAAGAGCACATTTTAAACTAAGTTGGTGAGCATGATTGACATTACACCCTGCTAAACAAATTGTTTGCATGTTCGCATGTTGACGCTGATCTTCACCTCGAAGCACTGCTGTACCTCTGATAGCCTCACAGAACTGTAAGCATGGCTGCAAACTCTCAAGTCTTGTTTTGACGTGATTCATTAATTAATTCTATGAGGAAGGTTATGTTTTCACCCCTGACCATTTGTCTGTGGGTTCGTTTGTGTGTTTGCAAGGAAGATTACACAAAAACTACTGGACAGATTACCACAAAACTTGGTGGAAGAATGGTGTAGGCCAGGAAAGAGCCCACTAAAGAGAATTGTGTGTGAATTCAGACATATTTTGGGGGTTGGTATAGAAGATTATGTCCAATTTCTTGCAGATACAAATAAAAATCTGGATCTAGAGGAGGAATTTAATGCAGTGTATGTTTTTCAGCCACTGTATGGTAACAAATAGCTCTAGGAACATGCATGTAACTACCTCCATCTGAGAAACAAAATGCCTTAGCTATAGGACTTGTTTTAATTTAAGGGGACTGAGCGCAATCCTAGTTGAGTAAAAAAATACTTGTAGACCCTATTTAAATGAGACAAAAATAAGTTGTAAATAATATCAGCTTGTGGTCAAAAGTACAATCCAAACAAGTTCACTTTTTAGATGAAATGAAAAGGGTTGGACTTTATTAGATATAATATATAAACATGCATAAATCTTTACTGAAAAAGGTCAAAGCTTTGTCTGTAACATTTGCATTTAAACTGAGATGGAAAGAAGAGCTCTGTACTTTCTGTCTGCAATGTTTTTGTATAAGTTGAAGTGAGTGTAAAGTGCATGCTAGCACTGTGGCTTTACAAGGTTAATATCATCTCTGAAAAGTGCTACACCATGAGATTAAAAAATGCAAACTGCACACATTACATATGACAGTTTAACAGATCTCAGAAGCAAAACAGCTGCACAACTGCTATGCTGTCTTATAACAGGATGTAGACAGTAGAGAAAGGCAATCAGAGGACTGTTTTCACCAGGAAGGCCTGAAATAGATGCATAATTATAGATGTATAACACTCAGCATAATAATGCAGAGAAGAATAAGGAGGGCAGGGCAGAGAGAACACAGAATGAGGAAGGAGACAGAATGAGTGGATGAGAGACGACTTCAGACAGAACAAGAGTCATGCTGATTAATTCCCTCTCTGCTATCACTGTAATCAATATCACACACAGATGGTGGAATTAATGAGGAAACTGCTGATATTTTTACAACAGCAACAACACAGTCCGATTGTTGTGAACAAATAAAAGCGTGCCAGTGATGAGATGTGAT